ATTAATTGCTCTGATCGTTTTTTATCTTCTATTACTGTATACTTTCATGAATATATAATTAAAATCACTATATATTTTTCTCTTGGTTAAATCAAAATAAATAAAACATTACTTATCTTTTTCAGTATTGTATCATGCCGATTATGCAACGAATTTGAGATATTTATATGATTGCATCACCCAGGTAATTAAATAATACCAAGACCATGCATATATGAAATTTTAAAGTTTTAATCTACTATAGAGTAAAATGATAAATACCAAATAACAAATCTGATTTTATTATCGGAAGGGTCGTATTTGGACAACACCCACGTTGTATTATGAGCTGGCATTCTTGATGTTGGCGAACCAGATGATGGTGGTTAAGTTGATGATGAATTTGGTAACAGGTATTATCCTACACCCATAGTTTCAAATCCACCGTCACCATATAGACAGTAATATTAAGCAAAGATAAATAATGATATCATAATCAACCTTATACAACCTTCACTTGAGCAACTCCGTCTCCACCACCTCTTATCGCCAACCCAAAACGTCCAAAAATGATAATCAACCACCCAACCTTGGTTTCAGATTTGATTAAAACTTTCCTTCTGACCAACATCCAATAATCAACTCCTTATGAACCGTAGGACCTTCATGTGGATCTCTCACACGGGTAGGTGGAGTTAGACATCAGAAGACTTTAGACAAGTGAGAAGCTCTAAAATAAAGACTAGTGCAGTGAGTTATGGTGATGGTTGTAGTTGTATCTCCAGTGTATAAAAATTGGTGTCCTTTTTGGATTACGTCACTCACTAGTCTTTAAACATTCTCCTTGACAACAATGCGACAACTTTAACAAGTCCCAGAGCAATGCGAGCCCTCCCTGGGACCTATAATCCTCATAATAATCATCATCATATGATCATATGATATATTATTTGCATCCTCATATCATCAGGACACGCAGCCAGATTAGCCTTTGTAACCCAAGGAAATAAGAATGTGTACTGCGAATTTATGAAGGGTAATTATGCTACTGTACTTCGCATAACCAGATCTAGTGCCACCTTCGGTAGTTCTGGACTTTGTTGTGAATTCGCATAGAATAAGTCATGCAAGTCAGCTTGTATCAAAAAATTTAGACTTTTTCGAAATTATGTGGGATCATTGTTCTACTATACTTCGTAACAACCAGGAATAAGTTCCACCCATTTACATCCTGGACTTTTTCATAAAATCTTCAAAGAATAAATATACAAGTATATAGTATATATTAAGAAAATTGATAAAAAAAAATTTTTTGAAAGA